TTTACAAAAGAAAAATTTTGAATACCATAATTATTATCCGGGAAACCCAAAAATGATATACCTCCCAGAGATTATTTCGTCCTTAAAAATGTTTTTTGGTATTGACAAAAAAAATAAATAAATATACAAAAATGTGCAGAATTTCATGCTCTATCTTTCTACACTATTGAAGTTGAAATCTAGGGGGGTGGTAGATTTATGATCTTATCCGGCGGGGTCCTTTGCCTTTGGCATACAAGATATTTCAATAAAAAAAAATAGATGATTAATACAAAACATTACCTTTGAAAAGAGAGCTGTGATTAAACAATGAAATCGATTCCTACTCAATGCTGAATTTCATTTTTTTTCTCGCTGAATAGTCAAATTCAGATGTCAGGAGTCAATGGTCGTTTGAATTAGACTTCATTCTGACTTCGCGCGACTCATTCAATATTTGATATTATCCATCATGTACAAGTTTATACAATGCAAATGTTTCTATGAAAGGTTTTCAACTTCATTAATTTGATTTATATATCCAATGAAAGGTCTTTCTTGCCTTTCACAAATGGTATATAGGAATCCGACAAAATATTGTTCTTTAGATGACGCTGTTTGTATATAGAATATGAGAACAGCAGAGGCAAGGTTAAAACAACGATCTATTTTGAATTATATATTATTCGATAGGATTTTCAACATTCTATGAAATGATATTATTATTACAAAAAATGTAATCAAGCCGAAACTGAAATGTTTTTCTGATAACTGGTGAAATGCTGCATAACCTAAAATCAGAGAGAGATCAATCTACCATTGCATCGCCAGTAAACTCTGCGCATTGCTCACAATTGAATAGAAGAAGAAACTAAAAAAATAGCAAGAAGTTTGATGTTAAAGCCTCTGAAAAAAATCACTTGGTCGGAAAAGATATGGTGAGATATTTCGCTGTGAGCTTTCATTAACATTATGACTTTGAATACACTAAAATTACTCTAGGTTCCACTGAGAACAAGATATAAAGCTGAAATTTTTATTTACGTGTAACTAGGCACCGCCCAATATTTGCATAAAAGTTCAGTTCAATAGGATTTCTTATTCTTTCTCTTTGTTGTTTTATCTTTTGAAGAAATTGCACTTTCAAAAAACAATGGACATTAACAATCTAGAAAAAAAATGAAACATAACTTAGGAATTTCTCTTATACCATCTTCTCTTTAGAACGGTGAAAACTGCAGCTCTCTATCTTGTTCCTATCAAAAGTTATTTGCAATCAAAGACTGCCGAGTTACTTTTGAACCATCCTGTATATTTGGAATCACTATTGAAAACTGAAACGATATATAACATGTCATAAAATCCTCTGGCAACTTTATTTTCGTCCAGAATTTCAATCTTGGTCTCCGCTTCAGGATTAGGATGGGTGTTTTAATTATATCGAAATTCATCTTTTTTTTTAATCTATTTGAAAACGAACCGAACCTTCTACTGTATTTCTGATGGCTGATATTATTTTTCTTCTGTATCTTATTGAATTTGAAAGAAAAGGTTTTATATTAAAAACTAAAAAATCGTTTCAATAGGAAATCCATTGGAGAAAAGCAAAAATTATCCAAGATTGAAGAGACATCCCTCAGTGTATTGGTCATCTAATTATCTCTGTTAGTCATGATCTAGAATCAGTTCTTCTTATAATACATACGCAATGAAACTAAGTACAGAACAGGTTTTTCTGTCTTATAAAAAATGTTGAGCCTAGCCTAGAATCAAAACATTCCATAGTACATTTGAAAAATAAAATAGGATAAGAAAAACGGAATTCTAGACTATAGTAGAGCGACATCTTTCGGATAACGGGACGATGCGAAAAAAAATTCAGGATCGGACAAACGAAATTCGGGACTTGAAAAAGTTTATCCTATAGAACTTGAATGTTTTATTTCTAATAATCACTTTACAAAATGAAGTTTCGATGGATATATCAAGATACATCTGATATAACCAATAGAATTTCGAGTAGTTTATGTTGTTTTAAAAAACTTCTTATTTAATCAATAACGGCGTCATCTATTGAAATTTTAAGAAAAATTCTCAAATAATAATTGTGAAGAATATTAAATTTCAAACAATAATTATTAACTTAATAATCTAGACTTTATTTTCTAATAACTAAGCAAACCTCCAATAAGAAAATTTTAACATATGGAAGTGCGATTGATTGTTTTATTCTTTACTTTATATAAGATGAACTTTTTTTTTTCTTTTCTTTTTTTTCCCATATTCTTATAGAATTTAACTATGTCATACTCTCGATCTCGCTCTCGTTCACCGATGACATCATTCCACCGTCATGATCGATCACATTCACCATATAATAATGATAGTCATGAAGAAAATGGTTGTCGTGTACATGTTGCGGATCTTTCAATAAATTGTACAAAACGTGAAATTGAAAAAGCATTTGATAAATGGCCTTTAATTGAAGTATGGCATGCAAATGCATCATGTTTTGCTTTTGTTGTTTTACGTCATCGTAATGATGGGCAACAAGCCATCAACGAACTTGACGGACGGTAGAAATCTTTCATGAATAAAGTAACAAAAATTTACTTTTCTTTTTTTTTTAGATATATTGGTGATGCACGAGTTCGAGTTTCTTTAGCTCGACCACGTACACGTGGTGGTGGTGGTGGTGGTGGCGGACGAAGACATTTTGATCCAAATATGTATGTAGACATGAAATATAATCATGTTACCATTCCAGAGATTTTTATTTCACCATTGACATTGGAGCATTTTTTTCTTAATATTCTGTAGTTTTTATAGTCATGTAAGAAGTAATAAGAATGTTGCTAGGATACATACAGAACGATTAATCACGGTCCGGAATTTATATTTAGCTAAATAAGTGAATGAAGGAAGTATATCCTTTTTTTTGTGACCTTAATTAAAATAGTATTACTTTTTTGTTTCTACGTAATGAAGAGAACGGTGTTGAACGTTTGGTCCGATTTGTTGTTTATATTATCGGAAGAGATTAAATTTTCATTAGATTAAAATTATTTGACATAGTTTTAGTCTCGGATACAGTTCATCAAGTTCTATTTACCTAATGAACTAATGGAAATACTACTATTTTGTGAAATACGATCTAAAAGGAGTGTTGAAGTATACAGTATAGAAATTTGATTGTGTTTCACATTTTTTAATCTCATAGATTAGTCTGATAACAATTTTGTTATGTTATTTATTTAAAGGCGTTGTTATCAATGTGGTTTTCGAGGTCATTTTAGTCGAGATTGTGGTAATGATCAACGAAATTATAAAAAAAATGGCAATGGATATCGGTAAGTTTTCTATTAAAAGATACAGTTGGTTAATGGAAATAATTGGACAGAATGTATCATACTGGGATCATCAATAACGAGATAAATATTTAAAATTGATGGATTTGGATTTTTGGAATATTCTATTGGAAAAATGAGATAAAGGTAAATTTCTTTTGAGATTTTTCATCACTAAATAATTGTTTATCTGTTAGACAAAAAAAATGTTAAATAACTTGTTTATATTTATTTAGATCTGGTCGTGAACGATCATATTCTCGATCTCGGTATGTAATATACAAAGAATTCAAATTATTTGTTATTATCGTTTTTCTTGCAATTTTAGTTCTCGATCACCTCGTCCTCGAGTTATTCGAGATTATCGTCGTTATAGGTAAGTTATAATTTAATTAGATTCAAATTTTAATTATCAATATTTGTCCGCAGTCCTCGTCGAACATTACCATCATCTCATTATAAATCTCGTGATAATCGATCTGGTTATTATACGAGGTAAGTTAAATATGAATATGTATTCATCATTTTGAGTAGATATACAATCTTATTAAAAGTTATTGCTTGAGTCTCGACCTTGTGACTCGTCAATAATAAGAGAAGGAAATGAGTTGATTGAATTCGATGGGCTCTAGTGGCCACAGTGGAGAATAACCCCCCTAGTCATATTGATTTTAATCCTTTCTCCTATGTCACCTTAATTAATAGTGTATATAAATTCAATTCATGAAAAGAAAAATTCTAATGATGCGCTTTTTTTTAAAAATTTAAACCTTCGTTCAATAAGTAATGAATAAATAGTTATGTTAATTTTAATTTTGAGTCATTTGTTGAATTGATTTTTTTATATTTTTTAGTCCACCTCGAATATGATTTTCAAAAGTTGATCTATATATTATCTATGAACAATTCTATTGATCTATCCTTCAAAACGTTTGTCATATATATAATCTGTTAGTTGTTTCTTTTCAACGTTATTTGTATGTGAACTTATCTTTTTCTTTGTGTGTGTGTGTACATCTCAATTCGACATTGGCTTCCTTTTTTTTCTGCCTCTGTTCGATATATGATTAAATCTAGTAATGATGAATATTGTATTTATTTCAGTATTGTTTTATTTTCTATTATTATTGAAAATGCCACGATCAAGAAGTGTAACACCATCATCGCGACGTTCACGTTCACGTTCACCTCTATCTGATCATGATAGTAGTGACGAACGAACAAATGAATATCGTGTTCATATTGCTGAATTAACACCAGGTGTTCAAGAAAATGACATACGTAAATTATTTCAACGTTTTGGTACACTTCTCGATGTTTGGGTTGCTAGTGCATCATGTTTTGCGTTTGTGGTTTATAAATATAAAGAAGAGGCTCAAAAAGCTATTGATCGTATGGATGGAAGGTATGATTATGAAATAGAAAGAAATAAAAAAAAAGATTAAACAAGACAATTATTATTGGATTAAGATCATTTGGAAATAATCGTTTAAAAGTAACATGGGCTCGACCACGAACTCGAAATCGTTCTCATCGTCAAGATCCAAATATGCGTTGTTATAAATGTGGACAACGCGGACATTTTAGGTAGGTTTGATTTGCTTTAATATTCTTTCACAAAAATATATCTGTTTTTATCTTTTTTATATTTAAATTTAGTCGTGAATGTGATGGTCAAATGACAGAAAGACGTTTACCACGTCGTCGTGACAATGATTATGGTCAATATCCATCATCAAACTATAATCAGTATTCGAGGTATAGTTGGTTACTAATATTGAATGACAAGGAAATCTATATAATTTGGTTCATAATATATATGTCTATATATAACTGGTGTTACGTAATCTATCTTTTTGGATATGTAACAATTTCTGGAGACTGTGATAAATAGGATAGATAAAAAGAATTTGAAAATCAAAGTACCTATGTATAATGTAGAATATAAAAATTTTTCTTTGGGATTTGGTTTGTTCTGGGCGATATTTGATATTGTGGAAAAGTGATTAAAAAAAAATGATGAAAATGGATTTGGATTCATGTGGAACTTTAGGTCACGTACACCATATACATCACAACCATTGCCACCACCAGCATATTTTCGTCATGGAATGCCAATGTATCCATCATTCTCACGACGTTATGATCCTAATATAGATGGATATTTTCCATCATCGGAACGATCAAATGGTCATGAATATCGTTATCGAGATCGTGGTACACGATTAACACCACCATCGACAAGTGGAAGATATAATCGCCGGTAAAAAAAAAATAAAGTATAGACATGTATTAAACAATTTATTTTTTATTTCAATTACTAGATAATCATTAATTTTATTTGTTTTGGTTCAAAAGAAAAATTTTGTAAGTTTAAGATATTTACAATATGGTTTTGTTTTAGTGAATTATATTAAATTTAGAAAAAAAAAAAGAAACTCAATGAACATTATTCATAAATGTGATATGTGATATTATTAATCTAGAAACGTTCTCTCGTTTTTTTCTTTCAGAATCACAAATATATTTCCTATTTTGTTCTTTTCTCAGTTTGACTACCAATATTTGTATCGTACTTCTTTTTAGAACGTATTTTTTCTTTTTCTTCTGTCTTGAAATCAATTTAATGAAAAATTTTTCTGGTTTTTGTGCATACATTTCGAATGCTAAATGTTGTTGTCTTTCAAGCATTGTGATCGATTTCTTATGCTATTACTACCATTAAAAAGAACAAATCATTTATTGTTTGATGCTTTTGTGTACCTGAATGTGGTTATGTTGTAACTTTGAATTATTTCTAATTATTATATTTCGTTTTGTGTATTAATAACAAAAAAAAAACAGAAAATTTAGAAAAATCTCTTGTGATAGTTTCGGTCTTTTTAAGTATTCAGATATTAAACATCATGTCAGCAAGTACAGAAGCAAGCGCAATCATAGAATTTTTTAAACGAAAATCAATATTTATTACTGGTGCAACTGGCTTTATTGGAAAACAATTAGTTGAAAAACTTGTTCGATCATGTCCAGGTAGAAAATAATAAATATATTTTCATTCTATTAAATTTTTTTTTCTTTATCTAAATTAAGATATTGAACATATTTATCTTCTTATTCGACCAAAACGAGGTCGTAATGTAAATGATCGATTAAAAGAATTATTAGAAAGTCCTGTAAGGTGTTTTTGTTTTTTTTTTTGAAATTAACATAAGAAATTCATTGAAAAAACTATATTTTGTAGTTATTTAATACTGCACGAACTATTAATCCAAATTTTGAAAAAAAGATAATTGCTTTACAAGGTGATATACTTGATCCAAATCTTGGTCTTAATGCAACAGATGAATGTACATTAATTGAAAATTGTCATATTGTTTTTCATTCTGCAGCAACTGTTCGTTTTCATGAACCACTTCGGTATTTAGAACACAAAATCTAACTATAAATATAATCTATCTTTGTTTTTTTTTTTGCTTTCTTTCTAGACTAGCCGTTCAAATGAATGTTGCATCAGTTATAAAAATACTTGCTCTATGTCATAAAATGAAAAAATTACAAGTAAAAATTAAAAAAAGCAACAGACGGGTATAGGAGTCATCGTCTTTCGTATTGGTTGATTCATACCTTTTCGAATGCAGAGCTCTGCGAGGAATGCTTTGATAACAAAATAAAGCTATTTTCGAAGGGGTTAAAAGCACTTGTGTATCGTAAACGTAAGATTCACACGCATGAGTATGTTTATCAGAAATCATTACAAGCGACTACTCATTCGATAGAATATCATTGGTAAAAGCTTCAATTAAAATGATTGAGGTTATTGACGTAAAAGTTGTTCATAATGTATATGAGAATAATAGTAGCGAACATAAGTTTAAAGCATTTATATTTTTGAGTTTTATTCTCAATGCTAATAGCTAGAAGGAATTTGAAGAAATATTTCTATAGCTGAAAGAATCTTCTATCAGGATATGTGAACCTAAAAACTGTAATGAAACTGCTTAGAAAACCAAGATCTTCAAAATGTCTTGGCTCTCTTCATATGACGTTCCTTCATCGAACGGCATAAAGCTCAAGAAACATTCTTCTTTTGTTTTTTGCGAAAAATTTCAATCATTTTGACGCTTTGAAACTTTCTATAAGTTGAAAACAGTTTGATGAAGAAAGTCAAGACATTTTCGAGATCTTAGTTTTTCAAGCAGTTTCATTACAGTTTTTAGCTACAACAATTCTGATAAAAAATTAGGGTTCAATCAAATAATGAATTTAAGTAAAACACCATTTTTTATTGTTTATCTATCTGATATTTTGCCTCCTAATAATACTTCACAAGCTCAGAACATATTTTTTACTATTCAAAAAAATCTGCTAATGCAATTCAACAAAAAATGAAGAACAAGATAAAAATTTTGTTAATAACAGTTTCGCTAAAATTTCAAATATACTACAAGATTTCTCAAAAAAATTCTGTATTCGACAAGTCATGATAGACGAAAAACTGATGATAGTTCAAAAATGACTGTTATACATCTCCCTCTCCTTTTTTTTTTGATATTGATTTTCGTGCTTTTTGTTTTTTTTCAAAGTCTGTGGTTCATGTATCAACAGCCTATGCTAATTGTAATCGTAATGATGTTGCTGAAATGATTTATCCACCACCTATTCAACCATCAAAATTATTAGATGCTAGTGAATGGATGGATGATCAAGTATTAGATGTTTTAACAAATAAAATAATTAATGATAGACCAAATACATATACATTTACAAAAGCACTTGCTGAATATGTTATATCACAAGAATCAGCAGATCTTCCAATAGCTATTATACGTCCATCAATTGTTGGTTGTACATGGCGTGAACCAATGCCTGTAGATTTTATTTAAAAAAAAAATTTTTTTCTGTAAGATTATTTGTGGGTTTTTTGTTTCAATAGGGTTGGATTGATAATTATAATGGTGCCAGTGGATTAATAGTTGCAGTATGAAAAATTTTCTTCATTATAGTAAAAAAGTATTTTTTATTAATATTTAGACAAGTAAAGGTTTGCTTCGAGCAATGATAGGTAGTAATCAAGCAACAGCTGATATTATTCCAGTTGATATTTGCGTAAATATGATGATTGCTATCGCATGGCATACAGGAATAAAAAAGTAAATATTGATTTGAATTATATCGTAATTAAAATCTTTCACTGAAGTCTACCTTATGCATAGAGTTCGAGCTCAAAAAGTGATTGGTCAATTGAAAATCTTCTCTCGTCAGACGAGTCGTCTGAGAAATGTGTAGGGTAGAATCCACCGAGTCCAAAATTTTCGAACCTGGGCTCAAAAACGATTGAATTACTTGCATCACGAGGAAAAGTCTCATCAAAACTAGATGGAAAAAAAATTTGATCTTTCCCTAGCTGACAACCCTGTAAACGTTCCTGGTTTCTATTCGAGCTTTGTCAATTCTTTGTCTGTTATTTATTTTAATATTAAGACATTTGTTGAAAATAAAAAACTTTACGTTTTCGATATAAGGATTTTTTCTATATTATCTCATCACAAAAAAACTTTCGAAACTGTTTATTTTGTCTAAAATTGAAATAATATTTTCTGTAGAAAAATTCGAATAGATTATCTTGATTTTTCTTCCTAGTCCGAAGACTATTCCAGTATATCATTGTTGTACTGGTCATTTGGGTACATTAACATGGGGTAAAATTCTTGAACATGGCTTGGGTCATCTTGATACAATATGTATGGAGAATGCAATTAGTTTTCCGCATTTACAATTTACTGAAAATCGGTAAAAATAAAAGATATAATATTGTAGAGAAATTTTTATTTAAATAGATTTCGATATTTTTATCTTCGATTTTTACAAGAAGTACTTCCTGCATTTATACTTGATTGTTATATGCGTTTAATTGGTCGAAAACCAATGTAAGATAAATAATATCATATAGAATTCTATTAGATAATCTTTTTTTTCTTTATATTTTAGTTTTTCCAAAATCTGTGATAAAATTTATAAAAATGTCCGAACACTTGATTTTTTTACTACGCACTCATGGGTTTTTCCGAATGATAATAGTATTCTTTTACAAAATGAAATGAGCGATGTTGATCAACAAGTATGTTATTCAACTTATTAGAATATAACCGAAAGTTATCTTAGATAGACGGTTCGAATTAAATTTATTCTTTTGACTCTCTGAATGTTTTCGATCATGTATCTCATCGTCAAAATTCTTTCTATGGTTTCTATCAATAGTCTTAGTTAGAGGGATCACTCTTTTCCGTTCGCTTTTTAGATATATCATGGAAGAGTGATTATCAGACCTCGAAATCGGGGCACTTTTTTATGGCCCAACAAAATATTTCGTTGAACCAGATCGGGCAGCTCGTTTCGAGTTCTCGTGACTATTCAACTATCATGCATACAATTATAGACTGTATCCTAGTCTTGTGTTAGTACCTAAGCGAGTTAATATCGATTCTAGTGAACTATGACTTGTTTTTTTGTGTTGTGAGTTTTTACCGATATTGAAAGAATAGGATACACTTGTGTTGAATATCTGGTTGCTTTGCTAACTTAGTCTTTTAAATGAATGCCGCGGTCCTCCTCAGACAAACTGCTTTTCAAATTTCGATTGGAAAATTTGTGCAAAGACAAACCTTAACAAGAGTAGTTTATTATGAAAGTTTCAAGTTTTTTGACTTGCTTCTTTTCCGAAATAGGAGAACATCGAATCTTTCCAGTGTATATGAGCGATATAAAAGACATGCTTTAACACTCATATGAAACTATTCTCGCTAAAAGCTGTCTCAGTATATTCAAAATTCATTTGGATGCACATTATGCACATAGTCCAGACTCCAAAGTTGTGAACCAGTTGAGGGACTTCCATTGCAAGCTACTAGGTTAACCCTTCGCCCTCCCTCATAGCGATTCCAGAAGAACTCCACTGATGAAACAACCATTGAAATAAAATACTGGTAGCTCCGATATATCAATAGTATGGACAGATCGATCAGATGTACTTTCGTTTAGTTACTCTAGTGACCATTGGACGGCAGGAGAACGACATGGTGAAGATTCTATCTGATGTCTTCTGTAAATCTGTTATAGTTTGACGAAAAAATTTCGTAGAGAGCTAGGGAAAATTTCATGTTATAGAGAAAAATCTGCTCTACCATTCCGTGTGATGTGAGAAAATTTGATGACCAAGTTGTAGGCGCTAAAAAACTTTGTATCGTACAATACATTTTCACCATATATCATGTTTGTTAGTAGAAAAACATTTTATATTGAAAAATTCAACATTTACGATTTTTTCAAACTTGTTCATTTTGTAACTCATCTTTTCCGAAGATGAAACAACACAAAGTAAAATATCTTCTTGTCAAATAATAGTTTATAGAGTTCAATACAAGATATGTTTTCATATTCTATGTATCTTTTTTATTTTCTACAATTGTTCCACAAATGATCAAGCGAGATGAAGAATTAAGTCACTAAATAGTTTTATTCACAACGATTATTAAGTACATAATATTAAAACGTTTCTAACATTGCAGGAATCATCTCGGATTGTCATCGAAAACAGACATTGCCGAAAGTAACATTATCAAATTTATACTAATCATATTTCCGATAATAGTTTTACTTGTTTAAAATTTGAAATTCAATTTAACAAACTTCTGATTTATAATGAATATCAGTTCACTAACCTTTGTGAAGGTAAACAGAAATAAATTCGACCTAATTCAATTAGAGATATAATGGTAACGGTGATCATCGATCTTAAATAGAGCACTGCACTGATCTAGACATGCATGTATATAATCTTAGATTCATTTCGACTTTTATGGTGGAGGGAACGTGTATTTCAAGAACATATCTAAATTTTATACAACTTGACTGTGCCTTTCTCGAACGAGAAAATCGATTATAAATCATAGAAATGTTGATTTTTCTTTAGATATTTAATTTTGATGTAAAAGACCTTGATTGGTCTCAATATTGGCGTATTTATTGTTTGGGTGCTAAACAATATTTACTCCGTGAGGATCTTGCTCATATGCCGCAATGTCGTAAACGAAATCAAAGGTAAAATTTTTTAAAAGAAAACAAATTGCATGTTCTTATCTTTACTTATTAGATTAAAACGTTTACAAAATTTTCTTTGGTTTACTTCAATTGCACTTATTGTTAAACTTGTCTTCTTTAAATCATTCAAATTTCATCGAATATTAATTGTTTTTCTACGTTTAATTATTTCCGTCCTGTCGACAATTACGACAAAAATTGGTGTTAATAAAAAATAGAATGAAATCGAATGTGTGATATCTTTTTTTGTTCTTTCTTTTTTTTTTTTATCAAAATATATGAATAACAAAAATATATAAGACAAATCTAATAGCACACACACACATGCATGAAATCAACTAGATAAATCTATTAGAACAAACAAAAAGAATTATAAAAAAAATCATTTATTTTGTAATAATGTTTGAAATTTTTGTTTCATAGTTGTTTCAGATATTGAGAATAAATGTTTTTGTTCAGTTTTAAATGAATCCGATATAAAACAATCAAAATTAGGTTGATGATGAATTATTTTTGATGATATAAAAGAAAATTTTGAAGATGATATAGGAACTATACAATCATTTTCATTTAAAGATTTAATTGATAAATCTTCTTTATAATCAAATAATTTTTCTAATATCATTGGCATATGAAGATTTTGTTTTAATGGTACAATAGAATCAGTTTTTTGAATAAAATTATGTCGATGTTTTTTTATAGATGATTTTATTGGAGAAAAACGTCGTTTTAATTCAGCACTGGTTAAAATTTTTGATTGATGAAAAAGTTGAGAAAATGAAAGATTAGGTGATGATGATGATGATGATGATTCATAACGAATATTCGATCGAGGAGGTGTTGAATATCCTAAAACAATTATAATAGAAAACATTCATGAAAATCATTCTTTTTTATTAAATAGTTTAGTTTATTAAAGAACATCTTTACATTTCACTGAAATTAGAAATGAAATCGACTTTTTAAAGGACAAAAGAAAGTCTGTGAAAAAACACATTAAAACTCATCATATAGAGACTAGAGAATAGTTTTGTATTCGGATTTTCTCTTTCTCGGAAAGTTGATGTGAAAGTTTGAAGAGTCAATCTGATTTTGAGGAGAGGCGCACACATGCTGGATAAACTCTGAAATGGTACTTCGGAAGTTTTGCTCATTTACTTAGATTATAACATGTGTATGTAAATTTAACAAATAGTCAGATCTAGAGCCCATCGGATTCAACATTTTCGAACTGTACTTTGATACTCTCAATGAAACTTTCTAATTGTAATTGGATTGTAGTCCCGAAGATGAGCGATACTTTTTTTGTATTTGCTGGCTACCCCATCCTACACATTTTCAAGATGACTAGAGACTAGCGGGTGCAAAACTTTGGGACTCGGCCGAGTCCGGAACCAACCCAACGAGTTCTACTCGAATCTTATTATAACACGGATGGCGAATAGAGTCCATCAGGTTGGTCCGAAGCCCGGATCCGGACCCGGCCGGGTCTGATTTCATGGATGCTACTCTGAAAAAAAGAGCCAATTATAAATTGATTCTTGTAAGATCATAATCGAGATTGCTTCAGAACTGTTAAGGATGTGTTCTTGGGGGTTATCAGGTGTGAATTAAAAAAATTTCATTAAATATCAGGAACACAATTCAGGACCGGGTCTGGATTCAAAAGTTTTGAACCCGACGGACTCTAGTGGCGAAATTACTTGTGGATTTTCAATGTTCGAATTTGATCGAGTCTTTCAGTAATCTGATCGAATTCATCAGTGATTTTATTACTTGAATTCGGTACAACTTATCGGATCTCATAGGATATCATCGATCCTGTCTCGAATTATTCTATCTTTATCTTGTTAAATAGATATTTAAAATTATTATTAATAGACTTTCTTTGCCTACAAAATTTTTCTATTTGATCGGTAACAAATTTATAAATTAATTCTTTCATTCTCTATACAATTTGGTATATGTATCCGTTGTTCCAGCATCCTCAATAAAAAAAATCATATTTTTTGATTATATCTTTCTATTAATTGAAATTGTTTTAACCTAATCATTTTTTTTTTATACTAACCTTGAACAGAAGATTGATTCGTCTCTAATGAAAGATGAGATGATGATTCCATTAGGGAAAGTTTACACTCTAATTTTCAATCCAAATTTTAACAAAGAAAAGTTAACCGTTGATTTGAATATCATCGAGTATGTTTTTTTTTTCGTCTCCACGTGTGTTCCTTTCAATCTTACAGATGATCGATGAATCATGAAATTTATCTTTTGTCTCACGAAATTTTTCTAATTTAAATTTTAATCCAAAAATTTTATATGATAAATTTTTTTTTTGTTTTTAAATTCAATCTATAAATCATTTTCTGATTATAAGTGCCCTCTATCAGACAAAAAATAAACAGTACTACAAATTTCAATGATTCCTTCATACGAAAAGAAATATGCAATCAATTTGAAAAAGAAGTGTAGAAGTATTTTTGAGAGTAAAAAAAACAAAACATCTAAATTTTTGTAATTTTTCCGTGTTGCACATTTGTTTCATACTACCGATGATTTTCATCCGATTTGAATTGCATAGAGTGTCGTTACAAAAAAGAAAATTAATTAATTAAGTTCCATTAAAAGTAAAATTATACGAAAAAACTTTCAGACCAGAGATATCCATTGCGGCTGAAAATCTGCCGCTGCCACAACGGTTTTCAAAAAAAGTGTTTCTAATTTCACTGATGCCACTATATCTGACTGCAAATATTGATGCTAGTCCATCAGATTCATTCAGTCTTGGGGTGTTTCATTTGTAAACCATGAAATTCTATTATATTCATGCAGTTTTTCAATGTCCTTCAAAAAAATGCTGCCACTGCCGCAGTGATTTAAAAAAAAATCTGCCGCTGCAGCTGCCGTCATGGACATCTCTGATTCAGACATCTATAGAAATGCAATTTAATTATAAAGTATATTGCAGATTTGTTTGATCAGCTGGAAGTCAAAAGAGTATAGGCGTGTGTTTAATAGAGATGAAACTAAAACTATACAATGAAATATTTGCTTTATATAAATGCTCGAAGTTTTGTATAATATAAAAATCGATTGTTTTTATACGATGTGTTTCTAAACCATTCATGTTCTTGTAAATAAACGCCATCTGTAAAGTAAATATAAAATATGTGATTTGCTGAAAAGAATGACAGAAAACTGTGGATGGATAATATTTATTCCAAGGTTCTCGTTGTCGTTGTAAAGAAATAGAAAAGAAAGAAGAAAAAAAAACTAGTAATAAGCAAAAATAATATTCTTGGTTTTCAGTATTGTCATTCAAGAAAAGTATTTTTCATGGCTCTAGCTGCACAACAATCTTTATTAGATGAATTAATGGGCAAAGGTCGTAATGCAGCGAAAGGTGAAAAAATTCATAAATATCGTTTTGATGATCCAAATGTATGAACAATATTTCTAAATATGTTACGCTATATTTCTTTGAACTTTGATTTTTTTTTAGGTTTGTAAATATATGCTTGTTGATTATTGTCCACATGATTTATTTGTTAATACTCGACAGGATCTTGGTTAATAAAAAAATTTCTTTTTCTTGTTTTTGAAAATTTAAATTCTTTTTTTTTCTAGGCCCCTGTGATAAAGTTCATGATATAAGTCTTCAACAAGAGTATGTGTTAAAGATTATTTAGTTTAAAATAAAAAAAAAACAAATAATTTCTTTTATTTAAGTTATCAAAAAAGTTCACGTTATGAAAAACTTGGTTATGAAGATGATTATGGTAAAAAACAAAATTATTTATGAAAATATCTTTTTTTTTTTGTTTTCCTAGAACGTTTTCTTAAATCATTAATATCCGATGTTGAACGACGTATAAAACGTGGACAAGAACGTCTACGCATAACTCAAGGTGATCCGAATGCCGATAATGATCCACATAGTCTTAAGGTGATTAAATATTCTTAATCTAATCATTTATTTAAAGAATTTTAACTAAATAAAATTGAGTTTGAAAAAGTTTTTATTTTTCGAAATGAATTCTTTTCTTTTCTGAATTTATAAGAAAAAATTTATCTTATTTTTATTTAGAATGAAATTATCAATAAAATAAAATCTCTTGAAGAAAAAATAACATCACATGTTTTAAAATCTGAACAACTTGGAAATGATTGTCGAATTGATGAAGCACAACAAGTTTTAAATGAATGTGAAGAAATGAGAGAAGAAAAGAAAAACCTTGAAACGGTTTATTTTAAATAATTAATCTTTCTAAATTAAAATTATCTTTTTTCTGTTTTTTTTTTGTTCAGCAATTAGCTGAAGAACAAGCCAATGCAGATATGAATAAAGCTATGGAAGTATGTACTGTTTGTGGATCATTTCTTATTGTTGGTGATATACAAAGTCGTCTTGATGAACATAATAGTGGAAAACAACATGCAGGTTATGCAAAAATTAGAGCAACACTTGAAGATTTAATTGTAAGTTGATAATAATTCAGACTTTATATAAAGGATAAAGTTTCAAAGAATTTTTCTATGTACAAAATTATCATTTGATTTTTCAATAATTATAATTAAAAGATGAATTGTAGAGTCTTGCATCAAACTCCGACAGAGTCGGAGTTATGAATACATTTCAAGAACAAAAAAAAACATTAGGAAAACATTCTTATTAACAAATAGCACAAAAAAGAACTAAATGTGCTAGTCAAAAAAAAAAAATTTCGGAGCCAAATGGGTTGGACTCCACAGGGCTATTGAGAAATAATTTATGGGATTTTATGTTTAAACCTCTTTTAAAATTTGTTTCAATTGATTTAAATTAAACAAACTAAGATCTTTCAAGATTTCGTGAGAGAAGTTGAACGATCTTTTTTTTCAAAGATTTTATTGGATCTTCCAATCAAATCATATACGATCGTATGGGATAGTAAATTTTCATAATAAGTTTTATGATAAGACTTTATGTTGATATAATGAAATGAGACTTGGCGCTGATTAATTATCGATAATCCATCGACAAACAGTTGCTGACATGTTTTTTTTTAATTATAAAAATTCCATAGTGGACTATCCGTAATACCTTTTGTTATGTTTATGCAAGAAAAAAAGAGAGTGTGAAAAATATAAATGAATATAATAGACAAAGTTCATGTATAAAGTATACTAAATATCGATATTTATTACATTTAAACACAACGTATTGCGTTCATCTGCCCGAAATAGCGCAATCGCTAATGAATGGATTAGATATGAAATAATAACCAATGAAAGTTTTACATCAATAAGATAAAAATTTTGTTACTCAAAATTTTATCAATCTAAGGAATCGAGTTTTACTTTTTCAAAAAACATTCATTCTTATAGATAGATCAATGTAGTTCGATAAATTAATTCAAAATAAAATCTTGCTTTTTGTGTCAGAATATTCTCGTATTCGTAGAACTAATGGTTATACTGCAGAAACTTGATTTTTCGAAGCGATTTCAAACTCCGGGAAGTCGAACAAATGTTTTCGGAAGCACAGATACACAGTACAATAACCATCAAATTCAGGAGGACCAATCAAATTTTCGGACCCATTTGACTAGGACACTGGTGTTTACATCAGAGTTATTTTCAGTTCGGTAATCAATTTCTTCGCTTGTTCATTGCTAATTCAATCGAAATAATTCCATTCAGTTGTTGATCATAGAAGCAATTTCTGTATCAATATGCATTTATAAGTAGAAGATGTATTTTTACAGCAAATGCGATTATTATTGAAGATTGTATTTAACCATAGAAGAGAGTATTCATTTCAAGATTTAAACTTGCGCAAAAAAACAACTTTCATTTGTACCTATTTAATTATTCACTGTAATAAGATTTATCGTCTGATTATTCGATCTTTTTTATGGAAACCTTCACCATTATTTAAAACTGCGATAAATTGATATATTATTAAAATTTAAAATATGTATCATTGAATAATAGTCATTCAATGAATATTAAATAGAAATTGAAACAGATATTAAAGCGCTATTTACTTTGATAGACAAATAAAATTCGGATTTCATTTGGTTAGTCAATTTTATCTTTCTCTATATTTACTAAATTATTCTAAGTACGAAGAAAAGTTGCAGAGTTAAAATTAGACGTTCATCAAACTCCCGCCCACTGACTCGATGTTCGGAAACTATCCAACTAATTCAGACAGTGTCGGATATTTGAGTAATTGCTCAAGTGTTCTTTCAGGTAAATAGACAATTATGAAAGCTCTCTAAGAAGTTCGAATTCGAGTATTTCTGAACGTTATTGACTTTTTTAAGTATGTCTATAGACCTTTCATTTTTGTGTCATTTATTCCATTGAGATGTATATCTACTATAGTTAAACATGAATTCTTTTCTTTTGGTTTATTTCTACTTCTTTTTCATCAATTGTCTGAAAATGATTCTTGTTAAGATCAAATGTGAACTCGAAGGTAAACCGGAATTTCGTCACCTAAATTTTAACAATTTATTTAATTTCCGCCAGTATTTTGATAGTCTTTTTATTGTGGGAATTCCGGCGGAAATTGGATAAAAGTATTGAAATTTCACACAATCAATTCGAACGTTCGGATTCAATTTTGAATACAGTCATTCTCAGTTAATTAATAAAACTAACAAGTCCGAACCGTTCGGGATCGGTATGTGTCCTATTCGATTTTTATCAGATGACAATTTAGCAAGATAACATACGACATGTATTTAAAATTATAATTGACTGTCTTTTTTTCAAACAAAAATAATTTCATTTTAGCAACGTAAAGCACAAATGCTTGAAAAAGAACGAACTCGGAATGTACAAAAACAAGAACCATCTAATCGTAAACGAGTATAGATTAAATTATTCAAAAGAAAAAAAGAACATTCGTTAATATCATCGATTATTCTCTTTTTATAGGATCGATCTGAATCCAAAGATGAAAAATCTAAACGACATCATTCACCATCATCACATCATCATCACCATCATCATCGTGATAGAAATACTAAACAACGAGAATCTTCTAGGTTTATTTTAAAAATTTATCAATTTAAAATTTAAACAAAAAAAAACAACATTTGTTTCCTTTTTTTTTAAATAGAGAAACAAATGATCATCATCATCATCGATCATCTCGACATGAGAATAATTCTTCGTCAAAAGAACGTCATTCACCATCAACAAATCATCGTCATCATCGACGATAAAACTCCAAAGATTTCTTTTTTCTTGTTGTCTATTCAACAAATTAGATATCTTCCTTCAATCATCTATGTATATAGAAAAATAAGATAAAGGAAAAAAAGAAAGAGACGAACAAAATCAATGTACATGTTTGTCTAATGGATGAGATTTTGCAAACAAAAAAAAAATGATATTATTTTAGATATGAGTTCATCAAAAGATATTGATCTATCACTTAACCAATGTGAACATTATATGAATCAATATAATATTATGAATATAGTTAAAGAATGTTTACATAAATTATGTATTCACCAACCAGATAATCCTGTTCAGTTTCTCAAGCAATACTTTTCTGGTGAATCATATGATCAGGTTAGAAATATTTTTATATTATTTTAAAAGAAAAACAAAATCATTATATCTTGCCGAGACATTTTTCTTTGTCTCTCTCTCTCTCTCTTATTAAATACTGAAAATAATATCACCAGACAGAATTGTTGGCGAACTGCAAGACATGTTGGTTAAATCCTGCTGTTTAAAATCGTCATATTCCATATTTTCGCTATTCAAAAATTGCCCTAACATCGCTTTCTTTCCTATCCACACGCATTCAACAAGTAGCTAAGAATAATAAATCATTTATGTACTCGTTAGTTTCATGCTGTCAGTCTTCTGAACGAGTTAAAGTAAACTTAATAAATAATTTCTTTCTTTAAAGAATGTAATGTTTGAAAACATCTAACAGTATGTGTTTTTTTTTTCTTTATGTCATACGAAAAATAATTATAAGATTCTATACTGTATACCGTATTCTTTCACTTTTGGGTCGTGGTAAAAGCGTAATGATATTTAAAAACAAAATTCCTGTTCGAAATTTCAAATATTACATAATATAGAAAACGAAATTTTTCTTTAAATAAATCCCTTTAGAAATATTCTATACTAAGTTATGGAAAAAAAGTTCGAGGCAATTCTTCTAGGAAAATTGCCTCGAGCTTTTTTTCCATATATTACTATAAACATTCTGTACATAATTAAGTCATTTATTTTAATATGAAGAAAAATAAGCTCTATAAATATTAGTTCTAATTCAAGAGTTTATCGTAATATGAGTCTTTCTTCTCATAATATTACATTGAAATGTAAGTAGGACAGAAGTCTATATATCTTTTTTATATTTAATTAACTATGTTTTTTTCTTTGCAAAGAAAAAAAAGTTCTCAATTTAATCATGACAAAAATAAGAAAGCAAAGAAAAAAATACTATACATAAATAGAAACTATATTCAATGATTTTTTTCTTCTCATTGTACTCACAAGCGTAAGAAATTTTTTTTTATTATGTACGTCAAGAAATTCTACGCTTTGTATTCTACATTGCTTAATATAAAAGATACTTCGAATAAAGAAAAAAACAACAACAAGGTATTCAATAGTTCTTTTTCTATATCCATTACAGGTAATGTCTACTGTTAGAATACTTTCTTTTCTAATCTGTTGAAAAAAAAAAACAAGGAAAAATTTAGAGATTTATCAAAAGTGAAATTATCCTTTTATTTTTTTAATCTATTGTAGAATTGTATGATGACTGATGAAAATAATGTTGAATTTCCTGTGATGGTAAAAAAACGTCGTGGAGCTGTATCATCTAAATCATCATCAGGAACAACTGGAACAACTCCATATGTTCGAGAGATTGTACAAAAAGATTATGCTACAATGTGTGCACTATCAGAAGCAATTAAAAAAAATATTCTATTTAGGTATTTTTCAATATATATGTATCTATTTTGCGAGTTTTCTTGTTACTTTTGCTTTTGTTTTATAATTTCAAATAATTACATGAATTCATCTATATATGTATGTTTTCTAGTCATTTGGATGAAAATGAACGTGCACAAATATTCGATGCTATGTTTCCTGAAATTCATCTCGCTGGTGATACAATTATTCAACAAGGTGAAAAAGGTGAAAATTTCTATATTATTGATAAAGGTGAAGTAGATGTAAGTTAAATAAAGATGTTAAGATATAATACTTATTTATTTTTTTTTTGAAATAATCCAAAGGTTTATGTTAATGATGAACTTGTTACAAGTATTGGTGAATGTTCAAGTTTTGGTGAACTTGCACTTATTTATGGTACACCACGTGCAGCAACAGTTAAAGCTAAAACAGATGTTAAACTATGGTCATTATTAGGAGAAACTTACCGAAGAATATTAATGGATTCAACAATAAAAAAACGAAAAATGTATGAAGAATTTTTAAGTAAAGTTTCAGTATTACGTAAGAAAATGAAATAAAACAAAATTTATATTAAGATGAATTTCAAAAAAAAAACAATTTAATTATTTAGAAACACTTGATGAATGGGAACGTTTAACAGTAGCTGATTCGCTTGAACCAATTCAATTTGAAGATGGTGATATTGTTGTTAAACAAGGCGATCCAGGCGATGATTTTTTCATTATTGTTGAGGTAATTATTTAAAAAAAAACAAAATTATAAAGTTAAAAAGTATATTCCTATCAAAATTTATTTTATAAAGTCTTTAAAGAACCCTGTCGGATAAGATAATCACCTTTCATTCGAACAGTCATCTATACAGTTTTGTAGAACAATTCGTATAATTAATGTAGGTAATATGACCGAATATTTTGACTCAGTATGTTTCTTAACCAATCTACATAGAATTTTGTTTACTTTCTTCGTACCTAAAATCTTAGCATTTTGTTCTAGTTTCCGTAATTTTTTAATGCTACTCCTCAGGGTAAAGGCGATCAATCGTGTAACTTTTCTATAAATTGTGGGCCATCCAGCTTTATAAGTTGATTGCTATGAACAGAAAAGTATATCAGTTTTGCGATAAATACTTTTTGAATGAAAAAAGTATCTGCCTACTAATAATAAGGTCGTTATATCCTATCATTTGAAATATATGGATCGTTTTCGATGTTATTAGAGTACGGAGCTCTATTAGATTCAATATATGTTTGGTCTGTTATTAAAATTAAAAATTTTGCATATATCTTATCCGATAGGGTTCTTTGTGTGAGAATATGGAAATTAGTAAGAGATGTTTTTTTTAAGGGTAATGGTATTGTCTATCAAAAAACATCAGAATTACCACAAGCAATTGAAGTTGATACATTAGGTCCTGGAAATTATTTTGGTGAAATAGCTCTTTTATGTAATCGACCACGTGTTGCAACAGTCGTTGCTAAAGGTACATTAAAATGTGTTAAAATGGATCGTGCACGATTTGAACGTGTTCTTGGTCCTATACAAGACATACTTAAAAGAAATATTCCACGTTATAATTCGGTTATTCGTCTTGATCAATTACGAGCAGCTGCAGCTGCTTCAAATAATAATAATAATAATAATGATAATAATAATAATAATAATAATAATACTACGAATTCCAATGATGAAGAATCTCTCCATTAATCATTTATAAACTCTAGTGATGTAATAAAAATCAAGAAAGGTAAATGATATTTAATATATCGTTCGTGTAAATAAACATTATCGTTGAATTATTTTATTGTATTTAAATAGTGTCTATTTTATTTTGTACTTTTAAAAATGAATCAGAGATCTTTGTTTTTCTTCTATTTCATCTTTCTTTTTTCTTTTCGAGCAATATATAACATTTCGATGAAATATGAGAAACGTTAGGACAGGATAAGAAAATGATGCCAAATTGAATGAATCAACACTGGTTCGATGTTGTGATATACATATATATGATAGAGGAGAGAAAGAACCGATTCATTCTATCAATTTGTCATGAAGTACTTTTTTCTGTTGTTTATTTTGCTCGTTTATCAAGTAATATGCCAGGATTTGACGGATGATATGTTTTTTAAACGGTATCAGACGTAAGTTCATCTTATATCATACACTCATAGTTTTATTTTATTTTATGTTTTTTTTTTAAATTTAGAACAAAAGAAGAAAATTTAGAATTAACAACATTATTTCTTCTTGATTTAAATACAACAAAGAATGCAAATGATATTCTTATTCCAGAAATTAATGTATCACCACCAGTTAATAGTGTTTTACATGAAATAATTCATACATATGATCCTTTTTGTTGGCGTCATTTATATGGTCGTGGTATAGGTCATCCTATACATACCTGTCCTAATGATTCGCCTGACCAAGATGGTCTTTTATGTTATCCATTATGTCGTACTGGTTATAATGGTGTTGGTCCAGTATGTTGGAAAAAATGTGAAAATATAACATCAATTGGTTTTGCTTGTATTGATATAAGCATTTCAGAACGTTCATGTCCATGGTATGATAAATGTGGTATTTTTCGTCGATCATGTGTATCATGTCCTGAAAATTATACAAAACTTGGTTGTTTTTGTGGACAATTTTATTTACGTGATAATTATGGTCGAGGTATCGGTTCATCATTAATATGTTCAGAAGATAATCAACAAATTGGACTACTTTGTTATGAAAAATGTAAGAAAACATATAATAGTATTGGTTCTATGTGTTTACAAAATTGTCCATCGACTCATACATATTCTTGTTATGGTGGTTGTTCAACAACAAAAGAAATTTGTGACAGTCAAATTAAAAATATGACTCAATCAGCTATTCGTACATCATTAGTAATACTTAATATTATTATGGGTTTACCAATAATGAGTACAAATATATTTGATATAATATCAAATATAGCTAAGAATGATTGGACACAAGCTATAGAAAATTTATTATTTATAGCTAAAAAATTAGCACAACAAATTTTACCTATATTAACACAAAAATTTCTTCGTTGGTCATTTGATAAAATTGAATCAGCAACAAAAAATGCAAGTTTAATTATAACAGCTACAGCAATGAAAGATCAAAATATTTTATCACCATTTTTAAAATTTTTTCATCTTGATTCATTTATTTCAACATTTAATCATACATATTGTGAAATATCTAATGATGATTTTTAATTTTATTTAATAAATAAAATTTAGAAAGAAAAAAAAGAAAAACTTTATCAATATGATTTAGTCTTTTATTTTTTTGTTTACATTTATTTCAGACAAAAATTTAGAGAGATGTTTCGAAGTTTATCTACATTACGTGTAGTTAATTGTAGTTTGAATCAAATACGTTTAGTAGCTGCAGCAACAGCAAATACATTAAAAGTTAAAGATGAAGTTAAACGTGTACGAGAATTAGCATTACTTGGTGGAGGAAAGAAACGTATAGATGCACAACATAAAAAAGGTAATTGATATTTTTTTTTTATTGATTAGAAAGAAAGATTGTTTTTTTTCATCGTTGTTAAGGAAAATTAACGGCACGTGAAAGAATTGAAGTTTTACTTGATCCAAATTCATTTCGAGAATATGATATGTTTGTACAACATCGTTGTTCAGATTTTGGTATGAATAAAGAAAAATATTATGGTGATTCAGTTATAACCGGTTCTGGTCTTATTAGTGGACGTCCTGTTTATGTATTTTCACAAGATTTTACTGTTTTTGGTGGTAGTTTATCAAGTGTTCATGCAGCTAAAGTATGTAAAATAATGGATCAAGCTATGCTTGTTGGAGCGCCAGTTATTGGTTTAAATGATAGTGGTGGTGCACGTATTCAAGAAGGTGTTGAATCACTTGCTGGTTATGCGGATATCTTTCAAAGAAATGTTATGGCAAGTGGTGTTATTCCACAACTTTCTCTTATTATGGTAAGATGACAAAAAAAAAACAATTTCGGATAGAGCTGAACGATTTTTTGAAATAGTTTTTTCAAGAAATATGTTAATACATATGAAATATTGCTATTGTTTTAGTTTAATTATTTGATAGGAAGTGATCGAAATAAAACATGCGAGGGAAGGTTCCGCCAAAATTCGACAATAAGATTTTATCGATACCAGACAGAAAAAATCCACTAAAAAGTCAATATCTAGGTCAAATCTTAACGTCAGCACGAACCCTTTGGAGGGTATCGATCTCTCATCACTAGGCACAATATGAACTCAAAAGGTTTTAATCATCTCGGGACCTTCTCTCATTAGCTATGTTAAATACGATTGTTTTTAGAGTTTTAATTACTATAGAATATGACTATGAGATCTCTACATATTGGTTTTCTAGAAAACCAGCATATGAGCGAATTTTTCATGATCATATTTAGAATCGGCATGATCGATAGCCTAATAGATTTCATTAAAAACGTAATGGAACAATTGAAAATGCTCCGTCACACAATGACTGAAATAATCAATCGTGCGAAAGTCTCAGCACAAAAATATTCACTTATTTTCTATGTTGGTCAATTTTTTATTTTGATTGAAATCTATCACACTCAAAAAGAGGCAACATTTGCTTTGCAAAGCATGCAATATACTTTTACATTTTTGAAACAGTGATTTTTTTTTCTTAATCAATACCGATTTCCATAAGAACTAACTCTTTAGTGAAAATGCATAGATAAGATTTCACTTATTGTAATATATCATTTTTTAGAGAATTCAGTGTTCTAGACTAATATTGAATTGAAGCTGCTCCAAGACATGAACTACATAAATTAATCCATGTCAATGATTGTGACGCTCGAATCTGTGAATTTTCGGCAGGAACTTGAAAGCCGGAACGCGGATTTTCCTAGTTCTGCTTGTCACCTTTTGGATCCGACAGGTTCTACTCATAGCTCATTTGGATTCACAATAATGTACATAGTCTTGACTTAAAAGCGATTTATCATTTGGAAGACTTTCCTCATAAAGTGACAATGTATCAAACATAATATTCAATTCTCATTTAATTAATATATTTATTTATAAGAATCAATATTAGATTAAATAGAGAATTTTTCTCAAACAACAACAAAAAAAAATGAGAATATTTGTTTATTTTTCAAGGGTCCTTGTGCAGGTGGTGCTGTCTATTCACCAGCATTAACTGATTTTATATTTATGGTACGTCAAACATCATATTTATTTATAACAGGTCCTGATGTTGTACAATCAGTAACAAATGAGACAGTTACACAAGAAGAACTTGGTGGAGCTAATTCTCATATGATTAAAAGTGGTGTAGCACATGGTGCATATGATAATGATATTGATACACTTTTACGTACAAGACAACTTTTTAATTTTTTACCATTATCAAATCGAGATACAAAACCAGTTATTCGTCAAAGTGATGATAGTCCTGATCGTCTAGTCTATTCATTAGATACAGTTGTACCATTAGAATCAACAGCTGCTTATGATATGAAAGAAGTCGTAAGTAATATGATATTTAATTTTAAAATAGAATTAAATCTTTTTTTTTTTAAATTCTTTATAGATTCATGCAATAATTGATAATGAAGATTTTTTTGAAATTATGCCTGAATTTGCTAAAAATATTATAATTGGTAAATAAAAGAAAAATAATTTTATTTCGTGTAGAAATTTTTATTTATTTATTTATTTCAATTATTTTATTTTTAAAGGATTTGGACGTATGAATGGTCAAACTGTTGGTATTGTTGCTAATCAACCAAAAGTTGCAGCTGGTTGTTTAGATATAAATTCATCTGTAAAAGGAGCTCGTTTTGTTCGTTTTTGTGATGCATTCCATATTCCTCTTATAACATTTGTTGATGTTCCAGGTAAATAATTTTGTTATTGAAAAAAAATTTCATAGAATTTAAAAAAAATTCTTCTTTTTCGTTGTCAGGATTTTTACCTGGTACAGCTCAAGAACATAATGGTATTATACGTCATGGTGCTAAACTTTTATTTGCTTATGCTGAAGCAACAGTACCGAAAATAACAGTTATTACACGTAAAGCTTATGGTGGTGCATATGATGTTATGTCATCGAAACATCTCCGTGGAGATATGAATTATGCATGGCCAACAGCTGAAGTAATTATTAATGGATATTATTATTTCATTAATAATTATGATATTATTTTCTTTTTTTGTTTATCATTAGGTTGCTGTAATGGGAGCACAGGGTGCTGTTAAAATAATATTTCGTGGAGGTCATGACGATGTTAAACAACGTGAAGCTGAATATGTTGATAAATTTGCAAATCCATTTCCAGCTGCTGTACGTGGTTTTGTTGATGATATAATTGAACCAAATACAACTCGACAACGTATTTGTCGTGATTTAGAAATATTTGCTCATAAAAAATTAAAAAATCCAAAAAAGAAACATGCAAATATCCCACTTTAAACTGTTTGTTCATTTTATTTTAATATATAAAAAAGGCATATAGTTTATTGCTTAATCATTGTGCGTTTGATTTTCCTTTTTTTTTTGTTCCCATCTTCGTATATTATACATCTTAATATAATATAATTAGAAACATCAACAAAACAGTTAAAATATTAATAAAATGAAGAAACAAAAAAAAAAAACAACTTTGTCTACTATGCGAAGACATTTTTACCCGGGAAGCAAACAATAAAAGACATGGATTATATCATATATGATAAATCGACATGTTTTAACAAATCAAAAGGATTAAAGCACAGGACATTGACGATAATAGGAAAAAAGAAAAAGAATGAAACAATACATATTAATAATTATATCTGCCCAACTGTACAAAGAAATAAATATTTTTTTTTGTTCCTGTTTCTGTTTAACAGAAACCACGGCATAAAAGTTCAAATTCTGTCTTATCTAAAAGTCCGTCACCATTCTGATCAGCAACATTAATCATTTCTTCAATATCTTGTTTAGATAATTTTCGTCCTGTTAAACGTTTCATAACTTTACGTAATTCTTTTGGTTCAATAAAACCATTTTTATCAAGATCATAACAATTAAATAATGTTTCAATATCCAATTCCATTTTTGGTAATGATAATATATTAGAATTTTCTATTAATGTTGAATGATCATCACTTGTTGTTGATGTTAATAATTTTGATTCAAGAAATTCAACAAATTCATCATAAGTTAATACATATTGATTACCATTTCGATTTATTTCAGCAAACATTTGTCTTATTAATTGTTTATCAATATTTTTATAACCTAAATCATGCATAACAGATTTAAATTCTTTAATAGTTAATTTTCCATCACGATTTTTATCAAAATAAGTAAATGCTTTTCGTACATTAACTTGTGATATTGTTCGTGAATTCGAATATGATAATGGCATTTGAAAGTCATTCGAAGTAGTTGTTAATGAACTTGATGATGGTAAACGACTATGATTCAATCCTAATGATGGAAATTCATCATTAGATAAAATTTCTTCCGTTACACCGACAACAGCAGCAGCAAGATCGGGAACGATTTGACACTGATGTGACATAGTTCAAATGAATATTTTCTTTTTAATCTAAAATATATATACGAAATATTCTATTTTGCTATTGTATAAATACAAATTTTTTTAAAAATATTCATGGCAACAGCCGGTTAAACAAAAAATTATACATGAATATAAATCATCTCTTATTTCTGAAGATGAAACATGACTAAGTAGTATCTATTTTTGTTTTTCGGATGAAAACACACCCTTATATTACTAACAATGATCAAGAGAAGAAAAAAAACAAATGAGAAATCTTTTGATCTTCATTCTTTTTACCTGTACTCAGACCAAAATAAAACATGTTAGTCTATATACGAAGCTTTTTGCATACGTCAGTTTCACCTTGACAAAAGAAACAAAAAAGAAATACTCATACTTAATAAATGATAAGAAAATTTCTTTACTTATTATCGATATTGAATAATTTTTCATCAAAACATTTCATATTTCTCTTAGTCTATACATTTTACTTACGATAGTCAATAATAGTCAAAAACTAATGATAAATTAACAAATGAATTGTAATGAAGACGGAACACATAGAGAGAATATGAAAAATGAGAGTTGTCACGTTCGGTTCAAAAAAAAAAGTATATTTGACGTCATTACTCTTTTTTCTATGTTACCTGTTCTTTTTTTCTTCTTCATCAGCATTATTATAATAGTAGAAAAGTAAAACTACACTTGTAAAACTAACATAAAAAAAAAAAAGAATAATGAAAATGAAAGGCCGACTATTGTTTTTATATACAGAATAAATGAAACAATTTACGTATATGACTTCTGATGCATCATCAACAGAAAAACAAGCTAAGAAATGCTCTGTAAACTTACGTATTTATTGGCATGAAAGAATAAATTTAGTAATATCATGTATTACTCATTCCTTGTATTAGTATATCAATCATTGATGACGTCAGAGTTACTAGAATACATGTCTTTTAATGAATTCTTTTTCTGTGTCAATAATCTCTAACGGCATTAGTGTATATATATATATACGTTTATCGGCATGTGACATAATAAGGGAAGTGCCCAGACATATTTTTAGCATCAAATAATTATTTTCATTAAAATTTTACCAATAACAACGTAATATTAAACTATTTTTAGTTATTTTTAATTATTCACTTCTATATTCTACTTTCTCTATACTTACTCACATTTAGACAAAAAAAAAGAATATATGATCATTAATTCTCTAGAATTTAATCAGTGGATTATTTTTTACTTCTATATACTTACGACACTATTTTTATTTTGAACTCTAGACATACACATTATCATATGTCGTCATAATTCGAGAATTGTTTTTCATATGGGATATATAATAAGATAAAAGAGTCCTATACTTGATCTTCATCTACGCATCTATATAAAACAACAAAATGTTTTTTTTAATACTGTCGTTGTGTATAATTTAAGTGTTACCAAAGATAAAATATTTAGGTGATAGTGACCTATACTAAAAAAAATTAATGAAATTGAATTATTTATTAGTAACAAGTTCATATGATTTAACTTGTCATTTTTTTTCTTTCCTTATTACAAATTCTAAAAAGCTGTTAAAATTTTTATCAAAGCTTTGTTTTTTACTTTTCTTTTTGAATAAATTTCCAGAAATAAAAATCATGCGACATTGGAATAATAAGTTCGACATAGACTATCAGTTAATAAAATCATTTATGTTAAATTTTCACTTCTAGAAACTTTTTTCTTCTGTCAATCAATTGTCTTATAATCAATGACTAAAACATTCCATTGAATAATACTTACAAATTTTGGTTTTTCTTTTTATTTTCTATTGTAATAATAACAAATCGAAACGTACACTGATGAGTAAACTTTTGTTAAAAAAGGAAGGAAAAGAAAATAATAACATAATATTTATTCATTTCAATGTTTAGTCTACCAAAAAAAACATTACTAAGGAATAAATTTAAAAAAATACTTATATATATATATATGTATATATCAAGGTGAAAATAGTGTGATCGTATCGTTTAAATTATGTATTATAAGTTGATTATTTATGCAAATATAAAGAACAAATACAATTGAAATATTGTTATAAAAATTGATAATATATCTAACACGATATTCCATTACTGGTATATCCTGTCACGAAACTGAATGAGAAAAACAACATTAAGAAATAACTATTATTTATTGACGTCAGAGCATTAGTATTTACTTCAAGTAGCTATTGTTCACGTATATGTTTATGTCATGATTACTCTTTATAAAGATATTTTTTCCACAGCTGATAGGCTTGTGTTTTTTTTTCTTACTCATTTTTCTTTTGATGTGATATTAAACATATGCTATGCAACTATTACTAATTCATGTAGACATTATTAATGATGATTATTGAAGACTTTTCCTAGTACTTTTTTACAATTTACAACGAAAAGAAAAATACAATGTCTCGACTAAACAAAATGTCAATGAAAATATTAACTTTCTACAATTACTTTTCAATATGATAGACATGCAAATAGATTTTGCTGATTATTTTATGAAATAATAACAATAAACACTTCTAAGTGTTACCTCGAATCGAAAAAAAGTATATTTACCTTCTACAAAAACTGTGAATTTTTTCAAATTGATATATGTTTATAACAAGTAATAAAAAAAGGAAGATAGGTGGAAGTACTTGATAAGAAAAAAAAATTGGGTTGCGCTGATCGACCATGTTAAAATAATACAAGCGCAAAAGACGAACAACGTATAATAAAAACAATGTTTTTCTCCTTCATAGTTGCTTCTCGTTCTTTTTTATTATATAGGCGTATACTAGAAATCGATTTATAACGGGCAACAAACCTAAAAAGATAACAATTTTCTTTTTTGCCTTTTAGTACATGATATAATTGACAATATAAAATGATGAGAAAAATAATATTGTATGTAATCAATATTTTAAAAATAAATAATAATAAAACGTGTTTTTCATTTATTTTATATAAATTAAAGTTAATAATAATAGTTATCAACTATTATTATTACAAACATTCTTAAAGATAAATAAATTTAGTTAAAATATCTAAATATAAGAATAATATTTACTTCATAGTTTAATCTGCATCTGACATAGACATTATTTGAAAGTAAAAATATGATATTAATTCTTAGGTAACATTAATTTTTATATGGATGTCCCCCTAGGCATGATACTTGATGACTTACAAACATGTGATATATACTGGCGTTGTCTTATTTATTTTAATGAATACATTATAAGAAATTATGTCTTTTCTTTTTTTTTGCGGGGGTTATTATTGATAGGAAAATAACACAGGCAAATATGTATATTGCTTGAAATCACTTGCAAAAATCAACTGTGAATATGGACAAGTAAAACATGTGACTATCTAATTAATGCAAAAGTGTAACAATCGTCGTCATATAATAATTATGTGTCTGTCTGTCTTATGATTGACAAAAAAAAATGCACTTACTAAAGTATTCAAAGTGCACAGCACAAATAAAATAAGCTATAAATTTTGTCCTATATTTTGTGCATGTTTATATCATCAGTTTAACATGATTTTTTTATTGTTGTTACCTATTGTATTGTTATTGTCAAATGATTGACATACGAAAACCAAAAAAACAAAGAAAAACACATATTCATATAACGTTAAAATTCTTGTTTATTCACATTTTTCTCATATAAAAAAAAAAAACAAAAAAGAACTTAAATATGTTTATTAAAATTGTTTTTGTTTTTTTTTTAATCTAACCCATTTTGTTTAATTAAATGTTGATGACACGACTTAATTTTTGCACACGATTAAGTAATAAATCACCTTTTTTAATAACTTCTTGATAAAGAAAATTTTTCGAATCAGGTCTTGTTGTTTCAATAATTCCACGTACTTTATCAATTTTACAA